AGAGAGAGAGAGAGAGAGAGAGAGAGAGAGAGAGAGAGAGAGAGAGTTACCGAGGCAGGATACTATATATACTAGTAGTACGCACTCAGCATGGTAGTGCAGTAATTCTGCCTCTTGGTCCTGTACTGACATCAGTGACTGCGACCTCATGGTAGTCGACTTCTTCTCAATTTCCTCTACCTCTGCCTGCAGTGCTTTCATCTCCTGCATAATTAGACACAAAATATTCAGTATCACGGTTGCTATTCAAACATGTATATTTAATGCCCATGTTCAGTCTTCACCTAAAAGCTGTGCGCCTGTGACTAAGATAGATACAACTGCAATAAGTGTAATTGGCTACGTAAGTAAATACACGTGTTTTAATTGGTATCATATATATAGACTCTTAGCCTAAAATCACAGTATAGCAAGAAATAGTAAAACACTGCTCTAATGTATTGTCAAGCCTAATTGACAAGCTAATAACTTCGGAAGAAACAAATCATGTTGTCAAAGAATCGATGCTCTAAGTAATAGTATATACTGATGGCAATTTTAGGAAAATAGGACGTTTTAAAATTACAAATGTTTGAATTAAAAGCTAACCTGATTTACTTTTGATTACCCTGTTTCCTGAATAAAATAAATATATTAGTTATATCTGTCAAGGAAAGACATTACCTGCAGCTGACTGCTCTTTTTATACTCTAGTTCACTATCACACTGGCCGACTTTATTTTCCCACTGTTGCAGTTCCTGTTGTCGGTCAGAAACCATATCTGATAGCTGAAAGTTCACATAAGTTTTTTTGGGAGTAACACGAATAGAGGCACAAATTATAGAAGCAGAACCTTTGCTATGTTTGATTGAAAGCTACAATTAACATCTAATAAATATCAATTACAGCCTATGCACATAATCAGCTTTTTAAAACTAGGAAATAAATCCTGGAACACAACAAAAACTACTCAGTAGAGCTAAGATCCATGCTGTAGCTCTCTGCGATACGTAATAATTTATTAATAATTAAAGCTGGTTGATAATCATGGTAAAGATAAGTTCTTCATGCAGCATTACCTGATCATAACCCTCCTGATTGCTGAGCCTCTGGTTCTGAGTTTCATATACCCTTTCCTTGAAATTCTGTTTATGTTGTTGCAGAGCAGGCTGATTAAAAAAAAATCGTGTTTTATCAAAAAGAAGTTCCAAGGAAAAAACATGGGAATGCTATTCACAAGTTATCCTACATCAAATAGCAGGTTAATTTTGCTTCAATTGAAACGACTAAACTGCTCTATTACGATCTAAGTATTTACATTACAATTTAACAGTACAGTGTACGTTCTGTATAAACGTCTCAAACTTAACAATAAAATAGACAATAAGTGGCGAGAGAGAAAGAGAGAGAGAGAGAGAGAGAGAGAGAGAGAGAGAGAGAGAGAAAGAGAGAGAGAAAGCTGATTCTCACCTTAATGCGGCTGCTAACATCGGTCATAACCTTGCTGCGACAAATGTCCTTCAGCTCAAGATCGTCACCATTAGCATTTGCTGCTGTCTCTGGTATCAGGTTCAGTCTCATCGCCTGGTTGTTGTATGCCTGGCATTTAGCTTGTACCTGCGAGGACCATTAACAACTGTCAGGGAAAATGCAAACCAACACTATCCACCAAGTAAGTTTGTCAGTAAAGACATCTTGTAATAACAGTAAAAACATCGTGTAATAACGGTAAAACATGCTAGGACACAATAAATTCGTGCCGACCCATCTTCACTCGCACACTCCAGCGTCCGCACGACCTTCACTCGCACACTCCAGCGTCCGCGCAACCTTCACTCGCACACTCCAGCGTCCGTGCGACCTTCACTCGCACACTCCAGCGTCCGCACGACCTTCACTCATACACTCCAGCGTGCGTGCGACCTTCACTCGCACACTCCAGCGTCCGTGCGACCTTCACTCGCACACTCCAGCGTCCGCACGACCTTCACTCATACACTCCAACGTGCGCGCGACCTTCACTCGCACATTCCAGCGTCCGCGCGACCTTCACTCGCACACTCCAGCGTCCGCACGACCTTCACTCATACACTCCAACGT